GAGTCTGCTCTGGACCCTCCGCAAATACTCTTCCATGTCGGCCTGCGTCGCTACGGCGCTGTTGCAGATCTCTCCATAGACCAAGTTTCGGCAATAAGGCAGCTGATGTGGGCTTGTGTTTTTTCTCCCCCCTCTCTCCTCGCTTCCGAGTCCCCCGCTGCGCTCGCACTGCAGCACTCGCTGCTGCCGCGAGAGACGTCGGTCCTCCCCTTCTCAACGGGGCGAACCCACAACACCGAGCAGCGGGTGTGACGGTAGGAAGAGAAGATCCGACGGAGGCGCGCTCGGTGATTCAGCCGCGCACCCTGCGGTGGTAGGAGGCCCCCTCCCCGCCCTTCGTCCTTCTCCCCCGCTCAACCCCTCCTCCCCGTGCACATTAACACATCCCTATCCTATCCCATACAGCCTCAGATGAGACCATACTGAATTTAGTGAGTGATGAGTGCAGCCTAGCGCTCCAGCTTTACGTTACAGCACGCTGCTGGTTTGGCTCTATTCTTAATTTGAGGATATTCACACTTGTGGTGCACAGGGGAGGAAAAATGCCGCAATATGATAACAACCACAGCCAAAGAGCACCGCAGTACCTTTCTGGTACGGGCGTGCTTTCACAGGAAGCACTTTAATTAACCTGAAAGATGTCCCTGTGAGGAACAGTAACACACACACACATAGGAAGTCAGCCAATCCTGAAACTTTAATATTTAAAAGAGGTCGTTTATCATTGGTTCATTGTGCCACTGGGTTTAACTCTTTAACCCCCCCGCCCATTTGGTTTCTGATAAGTCGACTACACTCAGATTAATTATAAAGTAAAAGTAATAAAGGGTCACGTCAATTAACATGAAGCTTTGGCTTCATTTGCCAGTTCGTGAAAAACAACTGAAAACTCATGCTATACTGTACCAATGCCAAATCTTGTTTGTGATAAGAGTAACGAAAATGGAATGATAACCAAATAAATCAGCATGGACTGTGGTTATTTTCTTATAACAGGCCATTAAAGGACAAAAAGCAAACTGGCTGGTGTATCACTACATTAGAGACAATCCCCCATATAATGCACAAATGTTTGTGTGTGTGTGTGTGTGTGTGTGTGTGTGTGTGTGTGTGTGTGTGTGTGTGTGTGTGTGTGTGTGTGTGTGTGAAAGAGAGAGAGAGAGAGAGAGAGAGTGTGTGTCTTTTTCACATGGCTTTTAGCTCAAATACCACATTTATTGGAATCCATGGTTGCCTAACTGTATTAATGCAGCAGGCACTATGAGCACTACTGTGAGCATCTTGCTTCTCCATTTGTGGTGAAAGCAGTAATACTCTGCTCTAAATGCGAGCTCTGTTAGAGCACTGTCCCTGCAGAAAGCCAAGAGGGCTCTTACAATATTCAGACCAGATCTAATCAGTTCAAAATAAAAGTTATTGTTTCCTGAGAAACAAAAAGTGATAGACAGTTTGTTAATGACTATCTCTATCTATCTATCTATCTATCTATCTATCTATCTATCTATCTATCTATCTATCTATCTATCTATCTATCTATCTATCTATCTATCTATCTATCTATCTATCTATCTATCTATCTCTCTCTCTCTCTATATATATATATATATATATATTTTTTTTTTTTTTTTTCAAACAATATGGGAAGGGTTACTTCCCTTCAAGGCTTTTCTACATGAAGTCACTCAAAATTAGTAAGACACTCTAACAAGGTGGATATGTGAAATACAATGAAGGGTAAGGTGCAAAAGGTCACCAAAAGCCTTAAATATCGAGTTTCCCCTGTTGCTATATTGTCAGTGGAAATAGATTTTCTTTATATATTTTTTTACATTTGCATATACATAACGTTACCCCCTTCATTGTGAACAAGCTGTAATGGTAGATTTAGTGTGTTCCTGTGTCTGGGAATGTCCAAGGAATTACAGTAACTTTCACAATAACAGAGAAGCGTGAGCAGGCACAGACTACACCTGAGCAATATATTGTCACTGTCCTGCTCTAGCCTGTAACTACTATCTGTATTTGCAGGAACATTTTAGAATATTCCTTCAAAGAATGCCTAACGACTGCCAGAAATTCTTTTGCAGGTTTTCTATATCAACAGCAAAGAGGATACATTTGCATATGCTCATCATAACACAGGTTCATTCCAGGTTTATTCACTTGTTTATTTATGATGTGCAAAGTAATTAAATCCATCCTGAAAACAAGGTGACCCCATGGAATCAAAACCAGTTTGCTGCTGCAATGTTTGGGCCCCTTCAATGAAATGAATTTAAAGATTATGATTTTGTTTTGTTAAAATTGTCTCATTTTTCTACACTTTATATCTCAATTTCATAATAAGAGTGTCACAAGCACTGAACACTGAAAAAAGCATTACTGCAAGTCCTGATTTGGATTTCTGCAACATTTCCAGTGTGACATTATGACAGACAGCACCACTTGATGCTGGCTCATACTCAAAAAGATGCTGCAAATTCGGTATTTAGTTTGTAGACTCTACAAAGTGAAAGCACGCATATGTTTGGGGAAAGTAAATGACCGATTACAAAGCTTTTAGACTAAAACGTTTGCTTTTAATTGCTGTGACAGTTTTTATCCTGTCGCTGTGTGGTCGAAGTTTCACGACGAGATTTCGGGGAAGAATTCTGGTTCTTTGCACCTAATCAGTTTCTGTGAAACGGGAACTCAAGACAGTTTTACGTGAGGTGACTGAAAGATTCTTGAAGGCCAACAGGAAGGCAACAGGCGGACCATCCTAGCTGTGATCCATTAATGCTCCCCTGGCTCGCTCTTTTATGGGCAAATTGTAAGATCTGTCGTATTTTGCCACTAAATAATTCCCCATCACGCAAGTGAGCCTTACAGCGTCTGCACTACAGTCCTAAACCGGCTTAATTTTCCATTGAAAACAATAGGCCGCGCTAATTGATTTTAATGGCTCTCTCCGCGACGATGCGCCCCTTATGACTTGGAGAGAGGTCTTTAAGATTATTATTATTAGTATAATTGCCATTACCCCCACACTTTCCCTTTGCGAATGGGAGACAGAGAAAGAATATCTTTGCCCTTAAGCTGAACAAATAATTATTAGAGACTGGAAACAAACAGACGACCGTCATTCACACGCGCGCCCACTTGCGCGCACGCACGAACACACACATGTCTCTCCACCTTAGAGGGGAACCCCTCCTGGCGACCCTCATTCCCTCCGCCGCCCTCTTCGTGCAGCGTGCCGCTTGTAATTTATGCAAAATTAATTGATACATCTTTTATAATTGATGTGCTGTAAACTTAATGAGTAATTTATGTAATTAGTCAATTAAGGATAATTCCAGCATATGTTCCATATGCCCAGAAGGTGTGCTTTACAACTAGTTATTTGTCCAGGAGTTGGGTGCAAGCGAACGCTGCCGTAGACTACCTAATTAATTTTGTTATGCAGATCAGCTACGGTGTCTATTTAACGGCCCCCTTTGTGAAAACAGATTTAATATTGATCTTTCCCGGGCGTTTTAAGAGGATGCTTTTACCCGCCCTGGCCTCGGAGGGCCTCGGTGTTTCAAATCTCATTTTTCAGGCGCAGGGAAAATAGTTATTCGGAGAAAACAAAAAAACACAAGCGCAGCATCAACTGTCTTTTAAAATGTTCCCTCCTCGTCAAGCAAAGTGGCACTAAAAAGTCATTTTCTTTGCAATTACATAATGTCTTTAAAATATGCTCTCCGTTGACACGGTTGACCTTTTGAGTGGGCTTGAAGGACCGGGACATAACGGGAGTGATACACCGGCTAATTAATTGACACAGTTTTGAATATTCATACCTAATACAGCGAGCTTGCCCTTAATTACATTGTTGAACTTCTCTCTTAGGAGGCTAAATCACGGAAGGCTTAATTATTGTAATGTATTCGAGGGCCCACCGGGGCACCGCGGAAGACAGGAGCCGTCAAGGACCCAGTCATGACACCTGGCCAGAGGAGAAAAAACTACGAGGAGGGAGGGGGGCTTTTTGCGGTTCTCCGCTGAACAGAATTCAGAGCAGGGGATGAAGTTTGTTTACATCCTTGTAGGATTCACCAGAGAGTGTTTGAACAGACAGACAGCCGCCGGACTCCCCTCTCAGCAATTAATCAACAACAGCGCCTCTCTCTCTCTCTCTCTCTCTCTCTCTCTCTCTCTCTCTCTCTCTCTCAGTGTGTTTTTGTGTGTTTCTGTGCGAACGAGCTGGTGTAATTGAGAGCAGAAGAGAAGCGCACTGATGATTGTGCGCAAAGGAAGACATGATTTATTGTTGGCAAAGTCTGAAAGTGCAATCGAGCAAATTTAACAAAGATGCTGTATTTATATATTCTATTCTTTACTATTTGTTTCCTCGACTCGAATGGGGGAGATTTCAACGCAAATCCACGCTCTCCGTCACAGTTCTTTCACCGCAGACACACAGATGACAAGGCAGTCTTTATATGTGAAGCAACTGAACACTTTAATACTATAACATTACATGACTTCTGGTGCTGTTTAAAAAATTGCAGGAGAGGTCAAAGGTCAAGTTTATTCGCAGAGAAAATGCCACAAAACCTTTGGTGATTTTGTTGTCTTGCTCCAAGACATTTCAGGAGACTTTAAACGAAGATTAGATGTTAAAATCGGTCCAAAAGTGTCAATTTTGTCCTCGTGTACTTTACGTGGGAGTCTTTGATTGGTAAACAGCAAATTAGACGCAAAGGCATGTGCTGAACGCACATCCTCTCATGTTTATCCCCCCCCCCCCCCCCTACACACACACCACACACACACACACACACACACACACACACACACACACACACACACACACACACACACACACACAGCCCTCTGCTCTCTCATGACGTGTCCCCTGAGTGTCTGGATAATAGATAGTAGAGCTGGCGACCTGCGGGGGTCTTACAAAAACGGCGCTCATTGAGTGTGAGCGTCGCACAAGAGGAGAGGAGCCACATCACACACAGACAGCAAAGCAAACCGGCCTCTCATATCATCATTCAGCCGCCGCGGAAACAAGAGCAACTCGGAGGACTTCTCAACTTTTACGCACGGAAATTTGACATTTACGCACGATTTCAAAAGCATAATTTGACGAAGACACGGACAAAACCAACTTATTTACGGACGTGAGAGACTCTCGAGGATCTTACCTGAGCGGCGGGCCTTTGGGTTTCACTATTAATCGATAAAGCAGGTAATATAATCTGATGGCTCAAAGCTTTGGAGCAGATCAGTCAGATGGAGACTGATATGAAGACTGGCAAGTGAACTCGTAAAACAAAAACAAAAAAACGTTAAAAAAAAACTCTAAAAGCATTTTTGTTCAAGAATTTAAACTTCAAGAAAAGAGTAACCAGCTATGCCTCGTCCAGGGAAAAACTCTTACAGCGACCAGAAGCCTCCGTACTCCTACATATCACTCACAGCGATGGCTATTCAGAACTCAGCTGAAAAGATGCTGCCTCTGAGTGACATTTATAAGTTCATCATGGATCGCTTTCCATATTATCGAGAGAATACCCAGAGATGGCAGAATTCCCTGCGACACAACCTCTCATTTAACGACTGCTTCATCAAGATACCCCGTCGGCCTGATCAGCCGGGGAAAGGCAGCTTCTGGGCTCTTCATCCGGACTGCGGTGACATGTTTGAGAACGGCAGCTTCCTGAGGAGACGGAAGCGCTTCAAGGTGCTGCGTGCCGAGCATATGACCTGCAAGAGTTCCCCCATGATGCACTATTTCCACCATCACCACCATCACCCTGGCAGCAAGTTGGGCACTGCATCCAGCCACCACGACCACTCAGCCGCCCCTCCAAACGTGGGTCGCCTTCCTCACTTTCAGGGTTACGGGGGCATCACTTGCGCACAGCCCGGTGGGTTTAAACACCCATTTGCCATAGAGAACATTATAGGAAGGGACTACAAGGGTGTGATGGCCAGTGGGCTTCCCCTTACCTCGGTTATGCACCATCTGGGTTACCCGGTGACCCCCCAGCTCAGCAGCATGGTCAATTCTATGTGGCCGCACGTCGGCATGCTCTCAGAGTCTATGGGTGGCGTATCCGTGCCAGCATCATCCGAGTACGCACCATTCAGCGTGTCAGCCAAGGGCCTGTACCACAACGCCAACGGGCAAACCCTGCCAGCCGTTCCAGTGCCAATAAAACCCACCCCGTCCCTGGGCCCCGTGCCGGGTTTGACGGGTCTGCAGTCCGGCCCGGCCCAGATCTGCTCACCGTCCTCACTGATGGAGAAAAGTGATCTGCTAGAGGGAAAAGGGAACCCTCTACACCCGGCCCTCCTGCTGTCCTAACCGGGTAAATTGCAGGCTATTTTTGAAAGAAAAGAAAAAAAATAAAGCGAGAAAGACATTGAGATTACCCGAAATAAGACTTATCAGAGACGACAAATAGATTACGTGCAGCTGTAAGAGCGTTGTAAAATTAAGTTTAACATTGTGCTGTGTAATGGATTTTTCATTAGACTCATGTTGATTGAAATCATGATTTATTTGCACAATTTGTGAGGGCATTTACCACATACTGTAATGTGGCACTGATAAATACAATCAGACTGGTAGAGATGCTAATCCCAAAGAAAGCTTTGATTTAGGAGACAAACAGTCCGAAATGATTTCAAATGCAAATCAACTGCTCTGTTTTTTGATTTTTGCTGTTATTCTACTTATTTTACTTCAATCATTGGCAGGCCTACCGGCTAAAGACAAGTAGACCTTCGTAATTTTTAATTAGGCCTGTTGCACTTTTTTGTGTATTCTCTAGCAGTGCATTAAAAATGTTATGCTTGTATTATAACACTATTTATCTGAAGATATTTATAAAGAACTTAAAACCAAATCCTTCGTGTTGTAGTTATTTAAATAACTGTTTACATTTGCACATCCTTTCAGGGACGACTGTGTTTGAAAAGCTGAGGAAAAAAATTCCAATAGACTCGGACATTCTTTTACATCAGTGGAAACAGACATTCAGGTCCCGACTTTTATCTATCAATTCCTCAGATGTGTAAATAAAGAAATACGTCTCTACCCTTATTAAATATTTTGATACTCTACAACAAGAAGTAATAACAAAAAGATCACTTCACATGCCACCTGTAGTTCTGTTTAATGCATAATAAATGGTCAGAATAATGAATTTATATTCCAGCTGTTTTTCTTTAAAAACATTATTTTCAATTATTGATTACAACTGATTACAGAAATAATATTAAATATATATTTGGCTCTAACTATGAGATATGGAGTACGAACTGTGAGAGTTAATATTTTTCACTGAACCAACATACGATGACATAAAAGTAATTTTTTACTTTTCTTCACTCTGGAGTCATCCAAGGAAGATCTAAACCCTCTTTGAACATCCAGCTCAAAAACAGAGCTGAATATCATATTACATGGTGTAACTGTTATATTTTAAGAGGATAATTTTAAGAATACTTATTATTCTATTTAAGAACAAAGATAGCAAAAAAAAATATCTTGCTATCACCTTCCATAATTCATACTTAAGTGCACGCAATTGTCCACATTTGAGCATGTGTACATGTGCTGATGCACGCTGTGTTCAAGTGTGTGTATGATCTTCCAAAAGATGGATATGAGCAGCCAACATTTTGGACAGCAGCTCCACAACTTCAAAAGCAGGATCAAGTTTGCTCTTTTGTTTGTTCTGTTTAAGTCAAGCTTTGAAGCTTCTCCTCAACGGCAGCACAAAGCCCCAGGTTCAGCCCACTAAAAATGACTTATATTTAACCTCCTATCCCCTGTTTAGCATCCCAAAGGCTCTCACAGCCGACACTATTGTCACACCAGCCTCTGAACAAATAATTGAGATGCACCAGTGGAGGAGAGGCGTGGGAGTAAAAAATTAAAACCTATTCGGGTGTCATTGCTAACGAGCAGAATCTCCCTAATAGTGATGACCCTTATCTTTTCCTTTCTCATTCAATCCTTTTTATTTATTGTTATTTTATCACCATCATTTTGTTGTGTTATGCCTGACTTTTATTTATTTTATTTTATTTCTTTAGCATTTCTCTTTAGTTTTTTCTATCATGCCACCTCCTCTTTACTTTCTGTTCCATCTACACACACACATACACACTTTCTCTGCAGGGTGTCTGTAATTTCTAGTTAAAGGGAACTGAGATTTCTACAGCACACCCAAACTGTCTGTGTGAAAAGTGTGCCTGTGCCTGTAGGTGTGTGTGTATGTGTGTGGGTGTGTGGGTGTGTGTATGTGTGTTGCTTTAATTCCCTGATCAGCAGGCCTCAATGTCTTTAATAGTCCTCACTGCATTAGTGCATAATTAAATGCCACTAATTAAGACACAATAAGAGGAGTAATAATGCAGCCATTACTACCCTCCATGATCCTCTGTCTTCACAACACCGGAGTTGGATGCCTCTGGAATCATAATATCACATGAGCTCCCCTAATGTGCACATGTGTTTATGTGGAGGGGTAATAGGTGGTATTTTTGCTGTTCGGTCTTATAAGTAGGAACTGTGCTGGTTGTGTCAAAGCATTTAAAAGAATATGTTAAATGATTTTCAGCCTCAAGAGCAGGTAGTAAAATAGAGAAACAAAATGCTTTGGATGTCAGCTGAGTATGTATACCGGTTATAATTTAGATTAAAAACAAAAATCTGTTCTGGCTGTGTGTTTTTGTTTTATATGGTAATAAAAAAACATATTTTTGATAGACTTTCTTAGTTTTCTCAAAAGAAGCAAGTGCACTGCAAATATCTCTCCACTCTGCTGTGATGGTTTAGCAGATATAAATTTGAACCTGATGCTTAATGTCAATAAACTGCAGAGTAATTTCATTAAATAAATTTTAAAAATTAATATGGTTTACCTCTTTCTCCAAAATGAAAATGTAATAACCACTGAGTCTCCTGTTTCCCGAGAGCATTAAAGAAATTTGTCTGCTGTGTGCAAATCCACTTACTTCAATTGGAAAAACATAAACTAATTATAAAAGCATAGAAAAATTGTAATTAACGACTCTTCTGCAAATAAAACTACATATGGAAGAGCTGAAACCTGGAGCTTTTTTCTCTTTAGACACTTAAATCAGCACAGGTGCACACTCCAGTGTAACACGGCCATTCCCAAAAGCTGAGGCATAAATAAAAGGCATAAAAGGCAATTAAAGAAGGAAAACAACTTATAAATATGTCCTAAAACACTGATCACTTACGACAAAGACCATATTCATACCCTGTATATTTTTATTATTTTTTTTGGAATTTGATTTAATTTGAACAACACAGTACGACGCTACATGAATTAATTTTAGCACTGATAAAAACATACCTGGAATTAATATGGGCCAACTCTTAACTCGGGACAAATGGTTCGACGTGTGAAATGTGAGTGTAAAAGAATAAAATGAGTCCTGTGAATGAATAAAACATTTAGGTCAGAGGTGGTTCACAGTCAACCCTCTGAAACATAACGTTGCGATCTTGAATAGAAGATGATGCATTAGTGGTAATTACCCGCACTTGATAGGGGCCAGGGTGACAAATTCTACATGCATTTTTCCTAATGATCAGTGAGGACAGGCCATCATGATGAGCAGCTTAATTCATCTGATCTGATGTGCTATTTCTTACTCATGCACACTGGCACACGCGCAAACCTTAAATATTATTCTTTGTTCCAGACAGCAGTCTTTTATTCAATATATCAGAACATCAGATGATTTAGAAATTTGCTCCAATTTCTTTAAACCTATAATTGTCATACAAGGATTCATTGTTCATCCACAGCTTGACTGACCATTAAAAACATCAGCAGAGCCATTCTAACTATAGATGGAGGTATGAAAATACATTACAGCAAACTCCTTGTTAAAAAGGTCTTTTTAATCACAGAGATAGGAAATCACATAAATGTCATGAAGATGTTATTATTAAATGTTAAAATTCAGTGATTTGTTTCGGAGTTTGCAGAAATGGGCTTCAATGATGGGGAAAAAATTGTCTCAAGCCTGCTACGTTTTCTTACTACACTTTTACCTGACGGTAAATGGAAACAAGAAAGAAAGAAAGAACGAAAGAAAGGCTATGAGAGATGTACACTGAACTTGTCAGTGGTAATATTATGACTTCTGATGCAATCTGAAGAGAGCTGTATCTGAAAATGAATCAGCTGCTCCTGGCATTCCCTAAAACCCGACTGAAAACCATTGGCAACCGAGCCTTTCCAGCTATCGTTCCCAAACTGTGGAATGATCTCTCTGCCCATGTTAGGATGGCCTCCTCATTGCCTCTTTTTTAAGACATGCTGGTAAACTCATCTTTATTCTTTGGCTTTTAACTCAAAGTGAGGTTGGTGTGCTCTTACTTTCTATTTATTATCAATACTGTTGTTGTTGCTGATTTGTTGTGTGGTGTTTTGTGCCTTCTATAACACTTTGTCCAATTTGTGTGTGCTTTGTAAATAAATTGGTAATGGTAAAATATATGGATTACATATATTCTGTATATGCCACTGAAAGATAGGGGTACAACAATGGGAATGTACAAGGAGTCTTTGGAGGCATTTATTGCACTACTAACATACGCATACAGATCAATCTGGCTGCACAGAGCACTCACACTCACACACACTTGCAATCTTCACAAGAAAGAATACAAAGTGAAGTTTTAACTCTTTCATTACAGAAAAGATTAAATACTGTTACAAAAGAGAAGGAAAAGACTTTCACCTGAAACAAACTCATTGCGTGGCATCTCATCGTATCTCTTATTTCCTCCCCGAAACTGATTTCTGATTTGTGTTGTGAGAGTGAACACATAGGCTTTGTCACAGGAGAGAAGATTATCAAATATCATGATCACCAAGGTTCAACTGGTCGTCATACCAGCTTATCCAATTCAGGGTCGGGAGGGAGGCTGGAGCATATTCCAACTGCTGTAGGGTGAGACATGTTCGTCAGCATATAGACACTACATGAAATAATATTCAACACTTGCAAGAAAGGAAACATACCAGTGATAAGAAAAATGAGATTTCCACACAGAGTAATACATTTGTGAACACATCATACCGTTTATTAAAATATATTCAAATTAAATATACTGAAGTAAAGTAAATTGCAAAGGAGTTCCTTATGGATGACTAAATGAAGTTATTAATTTCATAATTACACTGAAGCTGCTAAACTTGTCTTTTGCATTAACAAATATAAAATTTGGATTCATAAAAAAGTAGATCTGATCTGTCAGCATCTAACAACCCAGAGAGCTCTTCTTAAAGCACGAGAAATTATGTCAGGTGTAATTGATCATGCTTAATTTGATTCAGTCTTAATTGATTGATTCATAATTCTTGTAATTAACTTAACTGTGAGTAAACTGTGAGTGAATCAATAGGGGCCATGAATAAAACCATAATTAAATCTTTATAATTTTCTATTTGAGAAATTTTATTTTATTTTTTAATGTCACTTTCTCTTGTATGACAACAAGATTATATAATTTACTATTCAGTCTTTTTATGTATTACTTTAATAGAATGAGCAAACGATCTGTTCTCTGAAGTAGTTTTTTGTTAAGTTTACTACATTGACTGTACTGTATAGTTGTGGTCCGTGTGATAACTCAGTATAACAGTGTATGTGATTCACTGCAATCAGGCAGCTGGCATACGGATTTTTTCTGCTCTTATCTTAATCAAACGATCGGCTTGCCATATTCATTGCTGTGGTATTTAATAGGGGGACAAGGGGACAGTCATCTGGCACGTGTCGACAGGAGTCAGCGTGAACCAATGAAAAGACCATCTGAGGGGAATTAGCATACT